TAATGGTTGAACTCTTTTCGTAGTGTAAAATTAAATCATTAACAAAACTATGGTGGTCCTGTAAGAACTAAGAACAACACAATTTATGATGGTTGGAAGTCACATCAGGATACACGAGGTTTCATGTTGCGCCCGCAGAATTCTTAGGGTTTGGGTTCTTAAGGTGTGTGTGTATATATATATATGGGGATATCTATGGGGACATATAGTATAATAGACACAATGGGACATTAAAAATGCATATATATATATACATATATATATATATGTGTGTGTCCCCTGTCCGCACCCTGCACACGTGCGGTTTCGCTGGCAGGGGGCTCAAGTGTCCGCCGAGTGGATTTCCAGGTTACCGGAAGAGGCGCCGACGCGGCGTTTCTGCGCGGGGACCAGGTGACTGCGGACCGCAGCATGTGACCGTGTATTGTGTGACGTAGGAGTTCTGCACCAAACATGTAGACTTGATAGATGATGTTTCAACCCCCAAATATGAAGCGGATTTGCCATCCATGTTTGGGGGGGGTTAGAAACACTCGGCCCGCTCTATCTTGATGTTTGTCCGCTCTAACTTGATTTTTGTCGGAGTGACTTTAAACCAAGTCATGACTACAAGCGAAGCAGATAGACAGGAGCAATGTATGTCGGTATGTTCCTGTGTGACCTAATGATGGCCCTTGCCACACTGGACTTAGGGTGATTTGGCGTGATGATTCCAACAAACAAAATAGCAAATGGATTTCGGAACAAATGCGACTCAGGCGAAAAGGTTGATGCAAATTGTTGACGCCGGAGGAGAATCGCCAAATCCCAGGCTCCTCCGGGTCCATCATAGTTTCGCAGAGACATGTTGTTTACATGTTCTATTGACGCTGGCCGCAAGCGAAACCAATCCCCTGTGCAGTTCAGGCTGTGAAAGAAGTGCGAGAGATCCTGCGGCAGACAGAAGTGGCCAGGCTACGACAGAGTAAGCTGGTCAGAGAGGTGAAGCTTGGCATGTGAAGCTGAGGATTGGGATCCTGTTAACTGAAGGTTAATTTGTCCGGGTCCCTCAAACCCCGTCAAACGACAACAAAAACCACATCAAAAAAACACTGGAAGTCGCAACCAAAAATCCCTGTGTTCGCTTTGTGAGGTCGCCTTCTCCCAGTGTCCGGGGCCGCATGGGTCCGGCCATTTGTTCCCTAATCCGTGGCGTTTCGGGGGACCTTTTTGGACTCGGATGGGAGCGTGGCAGTGCGGTTCTGCACCCGTTGCCGCGGCGAAAGAGGTCGAATTCCTGTTCTGGTGATTAGCCCAGCGAGGGGTTCTCTAATGGAGCTGAGTGGGATGAACATGTTGATTAAGACTTAAAACCATTTAACACCTAGACTCCCTTAGGAGATGTTTGAATATTTGTTGTCCTGCCTTAAACCGTCATTGTTTTGCCCACACCGTGGACAGTGACCCAAAAAGGTGCTCCAATGTCCATGTTAGACTCTTGATTAGGAAGAGAACGAAAAGCTCAGGGTCATTAATCAAGATCTACATCACTGGTATTTTTTATGCATCCCTGATGATAGACTAGATATCCTCACTTGGGCATAAACTTGTCGTATTTCTGCGGGGTTTCTGCCATGTTCTCATGACACTGGATGCCCCCCCCCATCTGAGGAGAAGTCTTCTGGGTGCCAACGTTTCTCAGAGGCAAACGGAAGGGTAGTGCACAGAAAGGGTTTTGCAAAAACCTATTCTACTAACATCGTGGAAGGCGTGGGACATTCGTAGAACCCAAGGCTATTCGTGGACAGTTCGTGGAATGGTGGGCCAGTAGGAGAACTGACTGCAACGAAATTCCAGAAACCTTCGCAGAACTTCGTGGAAGGTATTTTTGATGCACTAACTTCGTATAAGCGATTTTTGCTGACCCCCTTTCTCCACACACCCTCCATTTAGCCTTCAGTTTCCACCACTGCCAGCACCGACGAGAGCAGCAACGAGAGCGGCGCGAAACGCTCGGCGGAAGCGCTTGGTGGCGCAGCGACTGACTGGGTCAAGGTCCTGGGGAAGGATGAGGCGGCTGGGCTCAAGACAAGTGGCATGGGAGAGATTAATTGTCATTTTTGTGCGTTATCAATGGCCACACGTTAGCCACACGTCAACTAAGTTGTGTGCCTGGAGGTTTGAGCATGAGAAAGAACATGAGAGGGCACACCATGCCGTTCCAAAGGGGCAGTCTTTGGATCCCAAGTGAGTGGGTACTGTAGCTGGTGAGTGAGAGTCCCTTAAGGAAGTTGTTCTGCATGTTTATTGAACATGGGCGACTACTAGGCAATTGCAGATCTGTTGTTTGTTGTCAACAAAGTGGTGCTGTGGGCCGCTAAGTCGACGATTCGACGATCCTTTCATTTGTGGAACATTCACAAAGTGTGGGTGGGGTTACCCTTCCTCAAACCATCAGAGAGTGTAACCATCCCTTCACAAGCCTTTTCAGGGTTACACACAGTGTCTTGATCCAAAGCCAACTCTGTCAAACCCGGAATTGCAGCAATTGCCAAATGACTTCCCACACAATAGGGTTCACTTGAGCCACAGCCAGGACTTGATGGAACTCTCCAGAACATTTTCTTGGCCAAACACACAATGTTAACTGCAGAGTTTGGTGTATTTCTGCATGAACAAACGCTTCCCATATCGTTCGACACCCATACCGGTGATACCCAGAAGTGATTGGATCACTTATATCGGTGTGTGATTAAACTAGGGGGATCTCGAAGGTTCATGGCGATGAAACATGGGGTGATATGGATATTGACAAGAAGAATTGATATGGCGTATCTTCCAGGGGGTGATGTGGATTCTTTTGCTACGGTGACAGGCATATTTTGGGGTCCAACATATGAGTGCATTTGTCAAATGTTGAGACCACAAATTGTGGAAGGATGCATAGGAGTCCTTGATGCGCCTGTTTGATGACGATGCACCTGTGGTATCATCAATGCTGAGGGAGATAGAAACTGCAAGAAAAGTGATCCTGCCAACAAAAAATCCAACAAGTGCACCCCACTCTACAAGTTGCAATTCACCATCCGTCTCCATCTTCCTCTAGTTGTGAAAAAAAACAAAAACTAGGGAAGCCTCTCGATTCCATGCAGTTTCTGCTCATGGAAAACCCGGATAAAAAAGAAATAACATCATTAATATGCATTGGATACAAAAAACACACGGACGAGTTGCTGAACACCCAGCTTCCTTCGGTGTGACTCGTCATGTGCTCAGGCTGGATCGATCATCGAGCCCTTTGGTGCAGATGGGGGGGCGATGGATCGACCACCGCATAGAGATCCCATGTAGATCCCATACAGTCTCGGCAGAGCTTTGCAGTTGAATCTTCTGACTTTTGGTTACAACTCTTGGCATGGAAAAAAACACAAAACAATGATCCATGCATCTTAAAGAACACTACAGGTGTCAACAAAGACTCCCACACCTTGTTGTGTTTGCTGCGCATTCCATCGCTTAGAAGGAACGCCCTTGGTATACCCACTTCTTCTGGAGCTGCTCCCCTTGCTCGCCGCGCTCCCCGCGCGGAGAGCGCGGCACCGAGGTATTTTTGGGACCGCTCCAGTGGTCGAACCCAATGGGAGCCTCCCGACGGACCCGTGCACGAGACCGTGAGCGCTTAGCGGCGTGAGCGTTTGCGGTCAACGGGCCGTGGAAAAAGGGGAGGACACCGGACCGTCACCGGAGAACGAACCGCGGGACACCGGTGGCGTGCCGATTGCGCGGTTGGTAAGGGAGAGTATGCGAAAGGTGAATGCGAAAGGGAGTGGTTGTTTTTTTCTGGCCGGGCAGAGCCTTGGGAGTTTTGGTTGTTTGTGTGTAGAATTCTGTAGAATGGGGCTGCCCGTGAGGAAGGTCGCACCCAAGGGTGGTTGGGTGACGAAGTGCTGGTGCCCGGAAATGCCACGAAATCCATCCGTTGCTTTCCTCCACCTCCCTGTCAGCAAACACACACATGAATCAAAGTTACCCACGCAGCAGGGTTCTGTGAAGGTTGCTATTTAGACTTTCCAAGGGTGCAAAGTCCACCGAAAGGTACTGTTCATGAACAATCACCCTGAAGAGTTGTCAAACATCTCCATGTTGAGGGGGCGATGAATGTATTGATCCAGGGTCAAAGTTAAATCTCCACTCATAGTTCAATCATTTTAGAGGCCCAAGGGCCAGCGATCAATTCTAAAGTGTGCTGATGCTCACTTTGAGTAGGGTCTTCAAACGGCTCACTCCACTCTTTGATCCCTGGGGGCTTTTGGTGTTGCTCGCCCTTTGGAGGCTGTATATTTAACTTACCTTCTTTTTGAGCCCCATATTACAGATATTGTAGATGGAATCATGTTTTACACTCATAACACCAAGACATGCTCGTATCAACTGTAGGTCATCTCAACTCTCTCCTAAAAAAACCTTTGCAAAGAATGCAAGACCTTGTGGCATCCAAACTCCAAACACACACACAGGGCCCAGCAGGGCCATCTACAAGGGTGGAGACCATCGCCATTAGGTTGGAGGCCAGAAGCTACGAACGTAACAAGAGCAAAAGAAACAACTTCTGTTCTCGCACCCAGCGGAAGCACCTGGTCGCAGCGGAATGAACCGCAGCGGAAGAACCGGCACGCAGGGCCCTGCCAGCAGCTGGGGAGCCCGGTTCATGGAGGTGGTGTTCGCATCGCATGGCAAGGGCTTTTTCAGGTGTTCAATCATGTATAAGAATTGTGGAATCCTGAAGAACATGGAAGAATCCTCAAGACTCACTCAAGTTGTCAAGTGATCCAAGACAATCGACCAAGATGTTCATGGACTGTAGATGTGCATCTCAGCCAAGGCTAAGCAGCCAACCAATTGGTTCTGCTGTTGGAGACATTTGAGCCATGCCATTGGAACCCTTCAATCTATTTCAAGCTCCTTCAATCCAAGGTTTTCAGCGTCCAGCTCGTTTGGACGAATCGATAGGTCTCGGGGCCATGGTGGGCCATGGTCTCGAGGTAGTCGATGGTTTTGGGGCGACTCGGCTCCTCCAGCACTTCGATCTCGGCGACTCGGCCGAGATCGGCCTGCAGGCCTTTACGGCTTTGCGTGCCAGCGATTTAGCGGAGCTTTCCGCGGCAGTGAGCGATCCACAGGCAGAGAGGGGAGGTTCGTTTGGGGGCGGTTTGGAGGAGTATGAGGTGCAAAACGGTATACGTAATTGAACAGATGATCCTGGGTAGTCTTAAGTGGTCCAGAATGCGCACTATGGGAATTGCTGCGTTTCGTTTCATAGGCTGGCCTTGGCATGATGGGCTTGTTGGCTTGTTGGCTTGTCAGGTGTGCATGCAGTACCAGGCAAGAGATGGAAGAGAGACGGGGGAGAAGAGAGAAGGACAAGCCAATGGCAGCCAAGAACTGGAGGTGACAGCAGCGTTTGTGACCTTTTGTGACCACTTTCATGTCATTTCAGGTCTTTTGATTCCTTTTCTATCCTTTTCTCATGATCAAGAAGCGTGCCCAAGTGCTTTCCTCTCGTTCCTCGCAGATGGACTCACGCCATGCGAGCTCCATGGCCTCGGTCCTCACGTCGGGCGTCCCGGCCACAACGGTTCGGGATGTGTTTCGCAGGGCCTTTGGAATCGATTCCCAGATCCAGCCAGCCTCATTCCCTAGCCATAGAAGCACATTTCCCGGGTTCCGCCCGTTCCGTGTCCGTCTCCTTTCGATGCGGCGTCCTCGTGGGCCTTCTGGCCTTCTGGTGGCTCGTTCCGGCGTCCTCGTCACTCGTGCGTCGAGGTGTGCGGTGATGATTGCCAGCCGCGAGCCGAGGCGAGCTCGATGTCGGTGAACCCGACGGTTTGGAGATTTGGTGTTCGGATGTTTGTTCCAGACACGGCTTCGGGAGCGATCGTGAGCATCCTCTCATTTTTTTTTTGTTTTGAAGATGCTATACTAATATACTTTAAAATACCTTTAATATTATATGTATATATATATGAATATGTATAGTATAGATAATAGATTATGTGATGATTGGATAAAGTCAAATCCTTCGGTCAGCATCGTGATCATCGTTGTTTGCTTGGTTGACATGCCACCAGCTTATTATAAGGAGAGAGTGCTCGAGCTGCGAAAGACAGTCAAGAAAAGCAACCCAAGGATTTTGAAGGTTCTGTTCCCAGGTTGCTACGTTTGTTTGAGCGAGTCATGGAAGGCCGCCAGCCCACTTGTGGGAAGTTGATTGGCAGGCAGGGTGCGCGCTGCGCACTGGACTTTGCATTGATCTCAGAACATGTAATTCAGATTATAATAATCTCCGGAAATGAGGTGGTTTCCCATAGCATATCGTTGTACCAGGTTCCTTCTTGTGCAGTCTAATACTATCGCTTATTTGGAGTCCAACTGCTTGACATGAGAGTTGTTGAACACAAGCTATGTAACGTTCATCAGGAGCTGAGCCCAGAAATAGTGTTGTCATGCTACAAAATGATCGCAGGGGGGAAGATGCCGAACGGAGCAAACTGAAACAAGTCTGACCAGAAGGCACTCACAAGGTGAGCGACACACTTCAACGCTTCACCCCTTTCCTTCGTGCTGTGCTCGCACGGAGCCAGTTTTCTAGCTTGGCTGGATTAACGCTGGGTTTGGTTTTTGCAATGTTTGCGCTTGGTTTTCATCTTCACTTTTTTTCTTGCTTTTTTTTAATATGAGGGTGTCTCAAGCTCTTCTGGGTCTTAGGTAGTGTTTGTGATGAACGGTTGCATCACCTGGCGTTCGATGGGTCAAGCTCTTCCGGCCGATCCTGGGGGGCGATCAAAACGAGAACCGTCCATCGAGTGTTTTAGGTATTAGTTGAGTCATGTTGGGTTTGTCCTATTGCCAAAGAAAGGCCTGCAACCTAATCATCATCATCCACTCTTACTGGTAATAGGATAGACCCAAGGAACTGTATGAGATTGTTGAGCCTTGTTGCACCACCTTGCAGGCGCTGGGCAAAGAACTTGAACCACCACAGGCGGAGTGGTTGTTGAACCACCAGCAGACGTATGTGAGTCATTTTGCAATCGACGTAACAAGTGGACACGACGATACAGGGAAATGATGTGTCTTACATTGTCTAATCATTTGATGGAACTCATCCTGACAAGCATTGCAGTGTTTCTGGCCGATGTGTGTGCAATGGTGAGTGCTGTGTGTTCCTTTTGGCGTGGCCACCATAGGGTTTGTCATGTGCATCAAGGTGGGCGAAGACAAATCTATGGACGATATGTAGAGCCATGCTATGCTCTATGGAGCTGGCTTGGGATCCAGATCTTCATATTACACCATTTAACCATGTTGGCACAAAAGACTACAGCAACACTACAATGCGCATATGTAAAGACTGTAAAGACGACGCCATATTATCACATACAGTATGTAATATATGTTTCTATATACGTTGGCTCTATTCACTCATTTGGGCTGTGCAGGCATTTACTGAGAAGCTGAAAGACGCTGCATTCCAGTCAATGCCCTGGCTTGTGCGGTGTGAACTCTGAGTAGTGTCAGCTGATTTCAGTCTAACCAACATGACATGGCTGACACGTGTGTGTTTTCTTTGCAATATGCCCAAAGTGAATATATACAAGATTCAATTTATATGAGTTTCCTTCCGTGCACACGACACGCATTTGCATTAAAGGTCTTCTTCCCGTTGCTTGAAACATCCGGTTCCAGACATGATCAGAAGACGACCCGCTGCCTCGCTGCGGCCATGGCCGAGTGGGTCGAGGCTTATGACTCGTGGTGGTCCCGGCGAAGGGGACCAAGAGATGCACCGAGCCCTGTGGCGCGAAATGAATCGCACTCCTCAGGTGTGGCCGGGGACCTTAGCGTTCACATTGCTTGAATCAATCATTTTTCGATGGTGTCAAGTTCTGTTCAAAGGATGTAGCTGCGTTTTTGTGGCGTTCTCCAGCGCGCGTGTCCCAAACCAAAGACCCGTAAGAATGGGCATCGCGAAGGAAGGTCGTATGCAACTGCTGTGCAGGAAGGTCGTTGGAAGGCGCAGCCGCTTGTTGGAGAATAGGAACGTTGGAGAATACGTACGCTTCAGTGTTGAGACCCCATGAAAAAAAGAGTTGTCTATAATTTATGATTGTTTTTTACTATCATCATACTAACTCCTTACCCACTAAGTGACAGTATACTGTTTTCTTAAACGTGATCTCTCCAAGAACCACCCCTAGGTGTCGGACCTGGATGCTTGTGACTCCGCGGTCGGTCTCCGTCGGCACCGCCGCCCCCGCTCCCCGCGAGGTCGGGACCGGAGGCGGTGGCGAACTTGGGCCCGGGGGGCTCGGGGGGTGGTGGTTCTGGCACAAAGAGGTTGACCGGCGGCGTTGGTTGATGTGTTTTTGTTTGGAAGGGAGGAAGGTTCGGTTTTGAGACTGGAATCGATTTGACACTGGTTTTTGTCGGTACTGTAAGCGCAATAGATCTTATATTGCAACAAAGCAGGCTGGGCGGGAACATGGTGGAGCTGCTCCAGAATGAGGCTCCTGGATGGGCAGGTACTCCTTGCCAAACAAAGATGGGATGGCCTGACAAAAGCACTTTGGAAGAGGATTTGAGGTGATCTACCAGTTTCTGTCTTGCTTTTTTGGGGAAGGGCTTGCTTTGCCCATTGCCCAGACCGACAATGCAAGATCCTTTTAAGTGCACACCATCCATGTACGTAATTATGACCCCCAGATATCGATGGACATCCATTAACTACATCCAGGACCCCCTGCTTGTTCTGTCTTTGGGGTGTTGTTGAATTCCCCCCCGAACAAAGTGGCGAAATGAGTCGAAAAGGCGCAGGGGGTGTCTATATTCACCACCCCATTCCTGGAATGGTCCTATGGTCCTTGTTCTATTCACCACCACATATGATGACCCGCCCTCGGATTCTTTGGACCGGACCCTCTCAGCTGGAGCTCGCCCCGGACCTCTTCAGGCCGGGAGCCTTGCGAACTCCAAGGCCTGGCGAGGCGCGTCGACCGCGCAGATAGGGGTCCCAGGACCCCAGGAAGACCAAAGGGTGTAGTGACTGGTTGTCTATTGAGTCTATTGGTGACCCCTTGGAGCCGTAAGCCGTAAGCTTTGTTTTTCTTTTATGTTTTGTCTTTGGGTCTGGGGTCAGGACTGGTATGTGGAACATGGGGGAGCTCAAGATCTACTGACAAGTTCCAGTGGACCAGGATCGCCTGAAGGAGTGTTCTTTTGTCCATGACACTTCATTCATGACCCCGTAGTTGTTCAGATTCAGAGGATTTCAGAGGTGTTTAGGGGTCGTGGTGCACGTGCGCCTGCCACGAAATCTGCACATCACGCAGCCCTGCCAAGCCGTTCCGCAGCAAGAGCGCTTCCAAAGACAACATCAAGATGCCAAAATGCAGCTTTCGCTCAACACTTCCTCCGATTTCTGAAAACGAGCCACGTGTCCAAAGGTCACGAGTCACTGCATCAGAGCGCGCTGAAGACCACCACCATGTCCCAAGTGCTGCGCCAAGTAATCTGCACGAGGCTTCCCTGGACCACCTCTCGCACCTGCCGCGAGGAGTGACCACCAAGTCCGAAAATGTGCACGGCACCACAACGAGAGCACAGTCGAGGAAAAGCAGCACTAGCACGCGCTCGGGCCCACCAGGGTGTGCAAGCCTGTGCAGTCGAAGTGCATTTCGGAACCGAGGTGAATGAATGTGCCGTAAATAGCAGCGAAATAGCAGCGCACGGATGCGGGCGCCACCGATCAGACACCCAGCGTAAACATACTGCAAGAACTGCTAGTGTGACCACACTGCTTGGGGGAAAAGTCTGAGGCTATCTTGCCGATGCTTGTTGGTTACCCGGTTTCCCTGTTGTATGGTTCTCACAGACCAACATAATCTCTTTGCACATAGACATGCAGTGAACTGATATTTGTGTTTTTCTATCTTTTTCTAAACACATCTAGCTTGTATGGAGTCTATTGAACAGCTAGCCACCAAACTTTGGCAGAAACGCAACTAGTTAAGGTATAGGTTTGCCTGCTCTTGGCCAGGCTTTGTTGAGACAAGGCTATTGCTTGCGCCAACGATGACTTGATGTCTGTCTGGCCGAGAGTAGAACAGGTGAAAAGGATCCACCATGGGCTGGATGTTTGGAAACATGGATTGATGGATCCCGAAGATGTCACGAGCCCATCCGAAGGTCCAGTCCCATGAGGTATATATATGTCGTGGGCGGTGGGCCGAGCTCCTCGCGGCAGGCTTCGCCAGTGTGTGATGGCCTTCGCGCACTTGGCTTCCCCGGAGCCAGTCCAAAAACTGCGTGAAGTCCTCCCAGCTGATTGTTGTAGTCTTGAGCCGTGACGAAAGTGGTCTCCACGTAGGATGACTTGTATTATTCAGTTCAACAAAGGCAAAATTGATTGTTTCGAATGATTTACTCAAGGATCACTCAACTGCGGTAAAGAAACACTCACGTAAACCACGGGCAAACTAGTGCCGTTACACTCCTCTGGGACTCTGGGACCATGAAACATCGTCCGATTGGCGGTCGCTCCATGGAATCGGACAAAGCGTTGAAACAAATGGTCCACACTGGTGGACATGTCCCAGCAGCGTTTGGCGTATTTCTTTAAGGGTGGGTGGGAGTTGGTCAGCTTGGCCAATAAGGCATCATTAGGACACTTGATGGTGTTCCCTTGTTAAATTGTGTGGCGTTTTGGGGTTCCCATGCTTGCAAGCACATGTTGAGTGTTTTTAAACTACCCAGAACATGTTGGGTTTCCAGAGGTTGTGAGGCCGGTTCGGGACATTCCACGAGGTTTTTTTGGACACGTTTGGACACAGATCGTTCCGGTTCCATGCGACCGTCGCGTGGATCTGGGCGGCGATTGCTGGGACACATGGCTTGCGTATTGAGCCCCCAAATGGACGTATACCTACCCAGTCAGTGAAGCAGAACCTTGGTTTGGGGATTGGTTTCACCACTAGCCAACAGGTGGAATAAGGTTATTGGTTAATCGTGGTTTTCTTTCCAGGACAACTAAGGGAGTCAACATATGTTTGATGCGATGTTTTGCTTGGGTTCTGAGGACATGCACTTTCAAGAGGCCACCTTTCCACGCCATCAAGCTAAGCTGCCATATTGGCTGAAACATTTCAACTTGCAAGACGAGTGGTTTAACATGGTAGTCTTTGAGCGTTTAAAGAGCGGTGTTCAGAACTCAACAGTGTCGTCTCCGGAAGTTCAAGGTCCGTTGATGGTTGGTTGACAACTGCGGCTAAAACTATCCTGCAGACCAATTGATGTGAAAGAATCGAAAGACATTATGCAACTGTTTTGAGGTGACCAGTTGTGCTTTGGGAGAGTGAATGTGTCTAAAGGATGTTGTGGAAACTTGGCCATACCGCAGAGCCCGGCCGAACCGGGACATTCAATCAACACACATTCGCTGGTGATGCGTTCGCCTGGCTGCTTGAACCATGAGATGCACCGCCTGGCCCTGGAGGGACAACTGGTTCAGGCCAGTGGGGCGAGGCAGAACCCAGCCAGAAAGTGACAGTCAGCGGTGAAGGCTAAGCAGTATTTTCTCCTCAGATGATCATTTTCTTCAACATGGTTTCGAAGGCGACCAAGAGCCTGGACTGGGTGAAACTCAGTCTCACGAGGGACCACTGGGAGGTGAAGGATTTGATTTGTACCACTGTCCCTGATTCCAAGTATAACGTGCATGGTACCATGGCCATTCTTGGTCGAATGCACACTGTACAGGGGTAGAAGAAGCTCATCAAGCATGCTTGATGACTTAACGAGACATTAGTGACTTTGCGGATATTGGAGACCCCTTACATCCAATGTCACTACACATTTGTACTTGATCCAAAATCTCAAGACTAAAGACAATTATACGTTGTGGTGAACCTGGTGAACATCAGATATGCCAAACACATTCCTTGTGCAGGTTTGTATATAGGTTCACACCTTGAGGACATATATTGCTTGTGATACTCTCTGTGTTGTTTCTACCCGACAATGTTGATGGGACGCCTGCAGCATCCTCAGCCTGTGCACGCAGGAGAGCGTTTTGGCTGCGGAGCTACAAGCCGCAGAAGAACGACAAAGATTGAAAGTGCCATTTGGACTTTTATGATCCAACATGGCAGGAAGTTTTGCACGTTTTGCCTTGAGAACAACGCAATCACTAGCTGATGGTTTCGGATATTTATATTTTCAAGCCTTAATTGGGAATGATTGGACCCTCTGAATATTTTTCAAGTGGGTCGAAAACACCAACCAGATCAGAATGTCTTGAAGCTTAGGCGTTTCCTTGGAGAACATGTCAAGACCGTCTTGACCAACCTTTTCTTGCTCAGTTTGCTAAGTGCTTAGTGCTTGGTCTCAAACCCGGCGCAACCTCTCCACGCGTCATCCGCGTCATCCGCCGCACCGGCTGATTTGTGTATATATATGATATAGTTATATAAATATAATACCTAGGGCTCCAAGTACCTTCTGAGAAGGTGCTTGGGGTAGCCCTAGGGAATATATATGTTGTTTTCGTCCTGAGGCAAGAGCTTCAAGAGGCGCTCCAGGCGAACACCGAGGCCCGAGTTTCGGCGCGGCCGGACAACGGACATGATTTGGGCCCGACCGGGTTTGGGCCCGGCCGGAAGGGACCGAAGGAGAGGAACAAAAAGCAAACACATGGTGTTGGGATCTGGAGGTGTTTTCTTCGTTTCTTCGAGATCTGGAAGAAGTTCGGATTCACATGGTGAAAACACCGGTTTGTTTGGAGGAGTTGTATTCTTGTGTTGGACGTACAATGAGGTTCTTAGTTGGGAGGTCCGAGTGAATTTGAGAGCAGGTTCCCTGGAAGCGAGACATCCGAAAAGGAACAAAACAGTGCACGGCCTGTATAGACCTGGCTCCTGCGTCGGTCAGCCCTGGGTCGGTAGTCCAACCCCTATGGCCCTATGGCCCTGGATGTGATAAGGGTCTGTGACCTGTGGGTGATGTTGTGACCTCAAGAGTGTGGCCAACCCCGTGCCGTTTCCTTCCAACGCCACCATGCCAAGGGAATTTCCTCAACATGTCGCCTCATTGGTCTGCAGAATCGATCTAGAATCTGCTGAGACAAAGGATCTTCATCCCCGGTGATTTCGTGCCCGAAATCCGGGGGTTTCGCTTGAGTCCTTTTCTCCGAGCAAAATCCGCCTGTTCGGCGCCCGCCTTCTCGGCACCGCCACGGACAGCGCCGAGGCTTCGGGAGCGGAGGAATTGCAGGCGACCGGTGGGGCCCAGAAGCACTGAACATCCACCCTGAACTACTTCTTTCTTGCACATGAAGAAGTGGTGGCAGTGGTTGGAAATGAAGACGATCAAGTGAAGGTGGGTGAGGTTTTAACCAGACCATCTTGCCAGGACCCCCTATTGGGGGTGTTTACGTTCATGGCCGAAGGGAGGTCTTTTGGAAGGGCTGGTGCTTCGGCCGTGGGTGGTGAATGATGTGGCGGATCAAAACCCAGGGACGGAGATGACGGAGATGTGAGCCATGTAACATGAACTTCCAGAACAGACTGCCTGGGAGGTCCACCTACCAGGATTTCGGGTGTCATGTCCTACCAGGATTTCACCCATGTGAAGGTCGCTCACCTCCGCGACCGACACCGGGGACGCGATCTTAGGCGCTCCAGCGACGGCTCCAGGAGTCTGGGGGTGCCAAGATTGGGGAGAGCTTGGGATGGATATATATATATATATATATTTTTTTTTTTTTTTTGCAGACAGTATATCTAGAACCTGATTGACCCCAGTTTTGGAGCAAAAACATGGTCTTTTCCTATCAAAGCAAAGGTCCAATGGGTTCCGGGTAGATAGTTATATATATATCGTTTAGATATGTTTAGATGGGGTTGGAGTCGGTTACAGGAGTGGGCCATGATGTGTGAAAGACATGAAATCTAACCATGACAGATGTATCCTCCAAACTCCTGCAAGCATGTGTTGGATTCCAATTAACCCTTTAGAGTATGGAGTCAGAGTACATAAGAGGAGACTCAAAGGTACACCTGCCCAATGTCATCTCGAAGTATCATGCCAATAGATGTAGTTTCTTCATGACGAGACTCTGGCCGCAGCCATTTGGTTCGACTCCAAAAGCGCAGCAAGTTCTGGAGAAAGGCGGTGAACGTGAAGTGATGTTCATCACAATCGTGACTATGTTTCTTCCCCTTGCCTGGGCGGGAGATCATTTTCTGCAGAAGAGGGCCGAAGATTGTGATGTGACAGGGCACTTTAGCTGCAATACCACCGTCTTTGATGAAATGGGCGAGATCACCTTCTATCCCAATGAGAAGGACGAGGTGACGTTGATCAAGAACGACTACGCAAAGTTCATGCGGGTTGGCCTTCATTACGGTGTTGACAACCATGAAATTCAACATTGCGCAAAAGTGCCCTCACCACACCTCACATACCGCTGTGCCATTGTCGAGACTGTAGGGCAAGATCCCAACGCTCGCTTCCACGATGCCTTCACAGACTATGTCTTCAATGACGATTGCAGCGCCTTTACCAAGGTGGGGACACATTTGTCGAACACCGCTGTGGTGAATGTGGAATGTGCTCGCAACAAAAAGTGAGCGTTCACAGCTTGTCTTCCAGTTTGCGTCTCTTGTAAAGTCAGACGCCTGCATCTCTTTATCACCTTCATGCCCAAGGTTTCCCTTGTATAGGCTGCGGAGGCTGACTAAGCTGGGTGCCTGCTGAGAACTTGCAGCAGGAAAGGTGAATAGATATATAATTCGATCGTATTTGACTCAAAGACATCCAAATCCTGCTCGAGCATCAAGAGAGTGCGAGTCGGAAAAGATTGTTGTGTATATAGATAGTCCTTCCGTGGTAATGAGTTGTACAATCTGGAAAGCGGGTCAAATCAATTTGATCAGCATTAACTTTGCCCATGAACAGTCACGCACAGTACTGGATTGAGGTCTTCTACTGAGTCAATTCTATAAAGAGACACCAACATGTTGAGTTTCCAGAGACACAGAAATGGTGTTGCAGCAAATTGTATTGGCTTGAATGAGCGCCCAAATGAGCTCTTCACTTCGATTCGCGTCTTCACTTCACCAAGCAGCAAAGTAACGACATGGACCGTCAAGGGGGGACCCACATTGGTGCTTCCCGATTCGTGGCCACAGCTTGACTTTCATCCCGCCCCTGTGAAGTTGGAGACTCGAATCCTATAATGACCTGAAAGCAATTGTCCACTAGCCCTGCTGAGACGTATCCCATGATCTGGAACATGAACCCGACAAGATCATGCCTCCTTTGTTTTCTTCACCAAGGTTGGCTTTGAAGTGCTCGCATTTGGAGCTGCAATGCCAAGATGAGGCATCAAGACCGGCGTCGCATGGCGTGGCAAATCTTAGCGTGCACCAGCCCGGAGGGGTGTCAGTGTCCCCCATTTCGCCTGCTATATATTCTGGACAACAAAGATGTATAGTGCTGTAGCAATCCGACCAGGACGCTCTGGATCTATAGGCCCTTTGTGGGGGGGTGCTTCTCACTGAACAACTTGTTTAACGTTTAGAGGATGTTAAATTTATAGATGTTGACCTTTAAACATTGTCTATTTTTTTTGTGAATTTTCTTGTTGACCAACATTAAAGTCGCCGGTTGAAACCGGCGCCCTCCCCATGGGCAGCAACCTCGACCATGTTCTCGAGGGCAGCAGCCTTGAGGGATTGAAAGTCGGGTGGCCCAGGACCGTCGGTGGACCCTGGAAACCGTGCAAAAGCTCCGACGAACACAGAAAACATGCCCTATGGATCCACTGACACCCTCTGAAAAGGTGAGGACAGAGGACGCATTTGTTCGTTGCACGACCCATGGAACTCATGGGGGGACCCACGGGGGACCCACGGTTCCGGTTGCAGGTTGGACAAGCCTTTGAGGGAGGACTGGAGGCCCCAAACCTTCCCAAGAAACACATGGAAAAAACACGAGATCAGATCTGGGGAAGAGCGTTCTTCGGGCCTCCCATGGTGTCAAATGGTGACGACCGGACTTCAGTGGTGGAAGCTTCGGGTTCAGGGGGATCGAGTTGGAGCTCAAGCAGGCGGAGGTGCCTGGAAAGGAAAGGAACAGCGCCACCTGTCCAGCATCGCTGGGCATCATCCGACCGGTCCGTTTGAGAACATGGACACCTGTCAGACATTGTCAGACAGTCAGAATGGCATTGGAATGGTTGGAGGCCATTTAGAGCTGTTATTGATCCACCATGTGATGGTCAGAAGAATGAACGAGAAGCATGAAGCAATACCCTCAAAGAACAGCAGGGAGTGGAATACCTCTTGCTTTGGGCCACCTATGAGTCGCATTGCAGCTTTCCATGTGGAACCAATTCTGTTCATGGATTTGTAAGGAAGAAGAGGAGCAAGCACAAGAGGCTTTAAGGCGGGGGGTTGGGGGTTTGGGGGTCAGGTGATGAACACGAACACCTGCACCCACCACCCGAAGGGTTCACTTTGATCCATTTCATGCACTGGAGGGCCGAAACAGCAAAGCATTTCTGGTTTGTTATCGGGTTGGAACCGCACAACCTGAACTGTGGATGTCTGAATTGTTTCGTTCCTGTTGTTGATGGAACAAAACCATTCTAGAGAAACAAAACCATTCTAGACCACGAAATCTAGCAATACATAAAAACAATAGTCTCATTGATGCATTAAACAAATATAATATATAGGACTCATATGATCATATGTATCACACAATATAATAGATTATGACGTCAACTAATCATCTCAAGTAGTCTGAGGTCAAGGTGCTTCTCTCCAGCTCCGGTCCGCTGCCTTGTGGCCCGAGCTGCCCCCCTTGCCGGGCCCGTCTTTGGGGGCCTCGCGGGATGATGCGCAGCTGCTTCGTGACCGCAGCGGCGTGACCGGAGAAACGGCACCTGGGCATGGTTCCCGTTTCGAAGCGAGTGTCGTTTGTATATGTTTGTATTTGTATGGCCCCCCGCATATAGACCATCCCACCAGTGGGTCCTGGTAGAGAATTTGTTTAGGGATGGGATTTCTATGGATTTCTCGTTCAAACCACGGTGTGTAGCTCCGTTCTGGGAGACCGACGCCCCTAGCTTCGGTGTTGCTCGACTTAGTCGACCGGTCTACCCAGCCAGGGGCGACAGGGGGTCGACCGGTCGACTAAGTCGAAACACACACTCCAAGTGGCTGAGGGCTGAGGGTGATGGGAGAGGTATGGATGGGGTTTTAGCATGGGTTTGGCCCAGCTGAGTATGCTGAGTTGAGCATGTTGGAATGCAAAACCCTCCGTTTGGAGTGTGGGTAAGGGTAAGACTATCACAGTCGCTTCAGAATATATGCATGTGGAGCCCAACTTCTTTGTCATTTTGGCTTGGAAGTTAGGCATGTGAGTCGTTGTTCCTGTTGTTCTGTTTGTTGGGAGTTGCTTCAATTCACTGTCAATGTTGCCGATGTTGCCTTTGGTTGTGTTTTTGATCTATAGAGTATAACCTGCAGAGGATACATTGAATTGTCTATTCATGTTTCCTGTCACATATTCCCAAGGAAAATGGGATGCCCAAAGAATTCAGAGAGATGTTTGAGGGTTCATGGTGTCCGGATTTGCATCGTTCACGGAGCCCAAACCCAATTTGAACTCCTGCTTAATGTTTTGTTTAATGTCATGTTCTGCTTGTCGAACTGCACCCCCAAAAAGCTCGAAGAAGATGCCCGCTGAGGGTTTTTAGGGGATGGAAACATCCTCAAAGTTTGATCGGTTCAATCACATGGAGAGCACATGACCCAATCGACCAACATGGTCCTTTGCAAAAAAGGAACTTTGAACACATGGTTCTTGTAAAGGTCAAAGCTGAAAACTGAAAACCACACTCGGCTCGAAGGACCCAATGTTAACAACACACAAAGGAGGCCTGGGTAGGCCTGCCCTCGTTGCTTGCTTCCAGCGTTTCGTTCTTTACACGACCTCGTTCAGTCGCTTTGAGTGTGCCATGTCCCAGGTGCCATGGTGGAGCTGTGTGAAGAGCCTGCACGTGGTGTTTTGGCTCGAAAGGAAGGCTTTGTGGAAGTCACCATATGTCATACAGATGCATCGAAAGAAGCCGGTCCCCAAAGTGAACAACCATGCCATGCCCAAAGTGAAAGATCTGCCCGTTTTGCATCTTTTCCGGATTTGGCAGTCATTCCGGTGACTTTTTTGAACACGTATACGACGCACTTTGGAAATCCTTTCCATGGAACTGATGACCTTTCCGGTTCTGTGGCCGGCCGTGGGTTCTCCTTCGGTTGCAGTGACGGAACCCTTCGGTTTGACCGGTGTGATTCAGTCAAGGGGGTCGATCGAACCGAGGCCACCTCTTGATTCAACATCATACCATCTATGAGGCGTAACTGCCTGACGGGCAGTGTGGGAGTGGGGAGTGGACAGGACACTTCTTGCTAGCCAGGAGAGTAGTTCATCCACCGCCATTTGGCGGGCGAGGGACCGAGGACTAGTGCTTCTTGCCGTGAGTTTGGAAGCAACAGAAGCATGTATTTGACCTTCATCACGAAAGGTAGCTTGAGCTACCTGAGTTCTCCTTGCTTTAGCAAAAATGTATTACAATCAGGAGTTGGGATTGTGCATTGAATTTGGTCCTGTAAGAGTTGATTCTGTTCGTCGGGGGGGCCCCCCCCCTGGATCAAATCCCCCCTGCGCCGGTTCACGCCGTCATGGACTTCTACCAGGGTTACTTGTGATTGCCTGCTACCTTTCGTTCACCCCCTCCTCTCTCAAGTTGGACTATTTTGGACTAGAAGATTTACAGGTCTCCAGCTGTGCCAAAGGGCATCGAACGAAGCACATTGGGATCCAATCCAGCCTGCATGCGAGCAGAGGGCGCCCTAATGTTGAGGATCTTCTTCCAGTGTTTTTCACCCTAGCATGACGACTTGAAACAAGCACGAAAAACCGTGCCTTCTTATATCTTGCATCCAGGTGACACAGGCCTCTACGTCGTCCATATCATTATCATCTGCAGCCAGCACTCTGCTGACCCTGCTGCAGTCTGTGCGGGTCAAGACCACCTCAATGGATGTGGCTCGCTCAAAAACCAAACCGAACCGAGACGAGAGCAGAAGCTCTTGCGGCAGGCAAACCGGATGTATTGGACAGGGCGGGCTTTCGAACGGATGAAAAAAGACCTCGCCAAGAAGCTGGTGCATTTTTGTTTAGGGGGTTTCATGAGAGGAACATATAGCAACCTTCACGATCAACGCAAACCCTATACAGGATCTACTGTACAGGCACATTCACTGTTGCTTTTGCCTCTTATTTTTCAGCATCAAGTTGGCATGGTGTGTCAATTGAGCAGGTCTTTTCATACTATAGGCAACAATTGACATTGTTGACACTGTTTCTTTCGAGGTTGTGAAGGATTGCGAGTTTGCCAATCGACTGGTTCTTTCTGATCGCTCCATCGACATCGACTCAGATCATCATCGTTACGCTGCTGATCCTGATCATGTTGGGACTCCTCATTTCTGCCGGCACTGGCCTGGTCACCCGCGAATCGCTCTTCCCAAGCGCATTGCCCGAGCGCAAGGCATCCAAGGACAGGAGAGTGTTTTTAAGCGCGAAAGGCATGCCAACATGCAATTTAGTAGGTTGGAGGCCGTTAACATTAGGTTGGAGGCCATCGCTATTAGGTTGGAGGCCATCGCAATTACTGAGTTGTATTTATATAACACAGTTCAATAGCTACTGAGCCAAAATGGTCAAAACAGTGCCCCTCAACAGACCACCTCAACAGGTCTATCCACCCCCCTGCCCATCAGCAGCAGTGGTGGCTCCTGCTGCCGCTGCCACCATCCAGTGCCACTTGTGAGTATTCAAGGTGCGCATGGTATACAGTAGAGGGTATGTCTTATGAACTTTTTTTGGTGCGCTAAGTGATGCTAAGTGCCTTATGAAAAGCACTGTGTCATGCAGAGTGAATTAAATTCATTAAGCTGGTCTGTGGAAATCGGATTTATCCGACCTTGCTCCACAGGTTGGAGTTGAATCCACTCCTCAAACAGGGGCCAAGTGATTTGGAACCGGCTCATCTCTGGCTTCAATAAGAAGGGTGCCGGGCGCAGCATCCGACCATGTTTGGCATGGAGTAACATGGCTCCACGGCACTTCAATCATCCGACCATGTTTGGCATGGAATCAAGTTGCTTTCAAACCAAGTACACCATGGCATCAGAAGTTGAAACACGCAAACATGACATCCATTGACATCATCTCCTGTCCGCTCATCCATCGCCTTTGATCTGTGGCCATGAGTCGTTACAACCCATACGTGAGGTTGAAATCACGAGGAGACTTGGTAGGCTTGTCAGATTGCATCAATTTGTCTATGTTTGCTCATTCTTTCTCGTTTCATATTGTTAGTTTAATGTAGTTGAACTGAATTCTTGGGTGCAAGGGCCTTGGAATCAAACTAAGGCCGGCTCCTGAACCTGCTCGGCGTTTCCGACCCTCTGGTGTCGACGAAGAGGATTGGGTTGACGACACCTGGGCGGACCCTTGACCCAGTTTGCCAGTTTTAGAATGTTTTTCACTTGCTTTGATCTTCCTCATGGGTTTGGGCTTGGATATGAACAAGGCAATTCTTGCGCAAAAGCACGTCGGTTTGGAGTTGTTAAATGGACGGTGGGGTTGCCGGTTCGCTTCGTCTAGGCTCCAGACACTGAATTGCCAAATGCACTCCTTCGACAGTCTCAGAACTTGCCAGTAAGAATATGCTGGCGCAACAGATGCAACTGGTCGGGCACACTGCTGTGTGGCATTCTTCCGCATTGCCCTGAGCGGATTGCGGCTCTCGGTGTGTACATTCCGAAGTTGCTTGGAGGGAACGATGTGCTTCGTCAGCTGCTGCAACCTGATTTTACATTCCGGCGATTTGGTGCCTGCAGTCCGTTTGCGGAGCCAGGAGGATGTCTATGTTGACGCTGGTGGGACTGCCATCTTCAGTGGCAAAGCGTAGCCAATTCTTTTGTCTTGACTGCAGACCTTCCAGCTGACCCCCTTGACAAGTGGCTGCGGGAGGACCCGGAGCTGCAGCGATGCATCCAGGAGCTGTCCGAGCCAGATCCGGAACGCTGAGGCCCCGAAGCGAAGGATTTTCACTGTGAATTTGATGGCGGCCAACTGAGCAAAGTGGAGCAGTTCTCCCGAGCGGCCGGCGCTGGAAATCCTTTGAGTCTGAATGGGAAGTTGACCAAGACGCCCTTCCCAAAACGCATTCAGATGTGGCTGGATACATTGGTAACCATTGGTATCAACAAATGCTGACAGCATTGGAAGCTTCGACAGGATCCTTCGCCGACTCCTGTCTGATTTGGATGAGAAGGACCTCGGCCAAAATGGGGCTTTTCTCTTGGAGG